AAAAATTTATATATATATATATATATATATATATATATATATAAAAAAGCGATTTCACTGTTTTATCCTTAAGTTTTTAAATAATAAAAAAATAATATTAAAAATTAACTATTCTAACAAGTCCATTACTCAAATTTGAGACTTTAAAATTTGAAAATTAGACGTAATACCAATTAATTTAACAAATATTAGTAATTTTTAAACATTTTTATACAATTATAGAGATACGAAGTACCTTAGCCTCACTAATATATATAATAAACATGTCTTGCACAGACTAAAATATTAGTAACTAAAATATTAAAATAAAAATTATTTTTAAATAAATTTTAAAGAAAATACATGAATAATAATATAATAATAATTTCAAAAATATTGCGTAGTTTTTTTTATACTTTTAAGTAAAGTAACTACTTAATAAAAATAATTTTTTATTATATAGTTAAAATTATTTTTATAATTAAAAATTTCAAATAATTAAGTTAAAACTTATTTTTTAAAAGATGTTATATATAATTTTAATGAAAATATTTTTTATTTAAACATATTTTATATCATATCTTATTGGTTTATGTTAAATACAAAATATATAATATAATAATATTATTTAATTTGTTAGTACATCAAATTAATTATGGATATGATTAAAATTGACCATATTTTTATAGAATTTTAATTTTATTTTACTTTATCACATACTTTTAAGGAAGTCGGTATATATATATATATATAATTTTTGATTGGTTAATTGAGAATATAAAATCCTTTTATACCTTCCACACCTATTCTTTACACTTCAACTATATGGTATTTAGGATTTTGTACGGAAAGCAACCTTTAAGGGCATCTATGTTTGTAAAAATACCACTTCTAGAAATGAAGCCTTTGCCGGAATAGGTCTAATTTTCTTCACGCGTAAACCAAAGACCAAGTTACTAACTGCCAATTTCCATGTCAACGAATGCTTGCATCCTCTATATGCCTTTCCCATTCCTCCATATACTTAATTTATAGCTTCATTTTTTTCTTTCCAATGCAATGCCCTATATGAGATGCAAAAGCTAATCTAAATTCCAAAGCTTTTCCTCCTTTGTTTCATTGCCATTTCATCAAACCACTAACGTACCGAATCGTTGTATGGAAGGGTAACTATTTTTTTTTTTTTTCTTTTTGTTTCGTTGACGTCTTCATGAGCTTCATCCCTTTGAACACTCTAAGAGTTGAGACCACATTGGCCCTAGTTTTGGTACATATCAACCCTAAATTTAAATCACTATAAACAAATTGCATGAGTTGAAGTCTCACTATCTATAGCCAATAGTGTCGTGTGCCTTTTGGCGTTTGGAATGAGACGCGAATTCTTACGTCAAGTACTTGACTATTGTTCGTTCAAGCATTATACATGTCGTTAAGAACGAAGAACGAACTCATATGTAGCAATGATGTCAATAGCATTAATATTTAACAAATGTTTTAATTTTAGTCGGGCGAAAAGATAATTTTATAATTTGTCTCTTGATATAGATGTCAAAACGAAGGTATTTATTATTTGGCATCAATGAAACGTTCGTATATACTTATTTTAGAAATTTGTTTGCTTACATTTTAATACACATCATTCGTCAAAATAATTGCAATAAAATACCAATGATTTTTGAATTTTGAAATTTCACAAGCTTGACCATTATCATGAGAATTTTCGAGTTTTAATTCGATGACTCGATTAAAGAGAGAGAATAACGACTATATACCAACTGTGTGGATAATAATTTTTCACAGTTATTCAACAACAAATAATTTATTATGAGTCTGTTAACTTTTATAATATTTATATTAAAATTTATATAAATAATAATTTTTATTAGTTAACAGTGTAAAAATTAACCAATATATATTGATTAATACAAATAGTAACTACTTGTATTTTTTAATCAAATTATTCAGGTTCGAATCATAATCTTAAATATAGAATAAATTATATAAAGAGAAATACCGGTTTTGTATATACTTATGATTTCAACAATATATATTTTGTATTAGTATCATAATTATAAAAATAAAATAGTATAAAATTATCACATTAACAATGTATTATCATTAAACTCATAAGTTCAGCGGTAGGAGTTGATCCACGCTTAAGTAAAGTCAGGAGTTCGAATCCTGCCTTGTATATGTAGCCGCGTTAAATCTTGGGACCAGCTATCCCACCATTTGAGGTGCCTCCCTCGTAGCGAATCGGCCCTGAATACTCTAGGGATGAAAAAAAAAAAAATTCAAAATGTTTACCACGTATCTAAAATGACAATTATACAGAAACACGGAGGCAAGATGAGGTATTAGAAGATGTCATATTTAATTGCTAAAATTTTATCTATTGCCATTTGCCCCAAAAGTAATTCTTAACTTTCATAGTTTAGTGATTGTTGTTACCATAAACAGTGTTTCGAGGATAAAAAACGACAATCACCACCTGCCAGAAAGGGTCCAATCTTCAGATGAGAAAGGGAAGCCAGCATACAGATAACATTGTCTTTGTGTTTCTCGTGATATCACCGCAAATTCTTATTACTTTGATAAAAATTACTCAATCCTACACTATGAATATATGGGAAAAAAAAAATCATATTAGATGATCACAAATATAAGTAAATTTGCTTTATATAATATTACTATTTCTAAAATATTTTTTCAGTTAATTGAAATTATAGTTTTAATATCAATATTTAATAAAGGATGATTTAAAAAATTAAGTTATTTTTTAAATAAAATTAATGCAATTAAATGATATTAACTAACTTTTACTTTTTGTTTCTTATACTTAGAACCAAAGAGACACTACAAGAAAATTGTTATATAGTGACATACATTATAGTGATACAAAAATTATACTAAAAATTACTTTTATTTACACAATAAATACAATATATATTGCTATATTGTTAAAAAGTATGAATATAGATTATAATATATATAAGATGAAATTTTGAGTGGAAATTTTATAATATATATTATATAAATTATTATATACATTATAATATATATTTTTGTAAATTAATATTTAATGTTATTTTTTTTCTTCTATTTTTTTATAATATAATATGATATCTATAATATTATATAAAAGGGATTCCCTCTTTAAGATATGAAAGAAATTTATCCTTAAGTCATTTTAAAGACAGTTGATTGTTGTTTATAATTAAGACAAAAATTTAATTTGTTGTTTATAATTATGATTGAAAGTAATATTTAACAACTGTGTTAGACTTTATTAGTTTTTGCAAACTTTTGATAGAAATATATGTAGTTAAAAACCTAATATTAGTTTAATTATATATTATAAAAATATATTAATCAAGTGTTTAGGGATTGAATTGTAAATGTAGAAAGTTCAAATTGAATGAAGATATCTACTTATTTAGTGTTTATTAAACTCGCAAAGACAATTGTTCCCATGTTTAATAAGAAATACTCATCAGTAATGAACTTAAAAAAAAATCATATATTATAAAATTAATTTTATTGATCCTAATAAAACAATTCCCAGCGGTTAGTATCTCCAAGTTCGCATCAATTTGAGTGTACATTAAAACATCAAAATAAGAGATCTATCTAGCTTAGTTGAACTGTATATTGTATATGGGTGGTACATACATATCAGTTATCAATGTCTGAAGCTTCCATTTTCTTTCGTCACGCCACAAGAATCTAATTTTTAAACAAATGTATGTAACATCCTCTACGTAACATGTAATCGCCCATATTCATGATAATGATCAAATAAAATGAAACATGTAATTGCCCATATTCACGATAATGATCTGATAAAAGAAACAAACAAACCATAAACATGTCCTATTCTTCTCAAGTCTTGGTTTACAATATTAAGCATACCCGTCTTTGTTAATGAAATTTGAAGCTAACTTTTTCATTCGTAGAGACCCTGCTACATTCCAAATACTCATTCTTTCTCAGGTTTTGATTTGTCAGTGTGATGGTGAATATAATATTTATAATATTTTGTGTTCTCCAAGCAACACGTTAAGTAGATCTGACATGAAAATGGGAAACTCTACTTCTGGTGCATATATAATTAAGTCCTAATTTGCTTTCGTCTAGTCTTTTGTTTTGGTGCCTACAATGACAACAACTATCTCAGCTTCATATGATGAATTGTTGTGTTTCAAATATCAACTAGTGTCATGAAACCTCAAAATTCCAGAGTTTTTTTTTCCTCCCTTCTTCCAACTCCTGAGCCCAAGCCAAGTAAGTGAATTTCCAAGTACCAACAAGTAATTTTGCTGTTTGATTTCTGAGTAAATTCATGAGTAAAAACTTGTCTGATACTAGCATCAAATTGGATGAGAAACGATTCTTAAGGTCTGATTAAAATGGGTGAAACAAAGAAAAGTGAATACTCTTTCTTTTTTCAATTATAAACGACAAAAAAACACACATTTTTTTTTAAATATAAACAAAGTTTAACTATTTTTCTTCATTTAACAATATTCTCTAAACAATGCTCATTCTGGCCTTTTAATTATACTACTTTTTGTATCATTTATGATAAGAGTAATTTAAGAAAATATTATAAGAATAGTAAAATTTAATGTACACAGTTAATTTATTTAATATGTGTAAAATTAGTTTTTTATTTTGTTTATAATAAAAAAATAGAGAGAGTGAGTATTGTCAAAATATTAAAGAAAAATCTTCTTAATTTTACAGCAGAAATAATGGTATCTGGTATCAGGGATTGCTTTTGATCTGATTTCAACAAATAAAAAATTTACCCAAGTTTTAAACAATGTTATGTCCTCAATTAGCAACTTTAAAGTTTACCAACCTTTTTACTAAAATTAAAATAATGTGTGGGAAGTGCGTATGTGCCGGGTTAGTAACATTTTTCTTCTTTCATCAATTCATCATTCATTGCAGGTGGGGTTGGTTTTTGACAACAAATCCATGGTAGTGGGGGCAGATTTTGGAATTAGTTTCGGAAATGGGTACTTTCATAACGTTTCTCCCAACAAGCTGACTCATATCCTATGAGAAGAAACCTTCAACTTTGCCCAACACATGCAAAACATTGACTTCCTCAATCCAAACACCACCAACTGAGTCCAACTTACGAAAACAAGAAACAAATATGGCACACAAATTGCCATAAAGCCAAACCTCTTCACTTTAACCAACCTTCACTGTCGCAAGTCCCAGCATCAGAAACGTGTCAAGTCAACACTACAAAAAAAACGTACCACAAAACTGTTACATAAATTACAAACCGTTCGTACTAAGATACCACTTGACCAAATTAGATTCTTATTCATTGTGCACAATCTTCTTCTTGCACAAAATATATGCCTAGTCAAGTTAGGCCCAAAAATCAAGTTATGCCAAGATATTATTCTGCCACTGATTTGGGTGTGCACTAGTGGTGATGAGAGTTCACTTTCTTACAATGAATCTTTGATGGGGAAAATTTTCTGGCTCTCAAGTCTCCTTCTCCTAATAACTCGGTTTGAAAATCTTCAAAGGTGTGAGATTTAATGGGTACCAGAAACGTGTTTATGCTTAAGACACACATTGATTCAATCAATTTGTCTTCTGCTAATGGTTTTGTTTATGAAAACGTGATTTGGGCCTTGGCTTCTCTTTGGGTTTTTTTCTGCAACTATGTGTTGTATTCCTTGGGGTTGGTACTCAAATACATCTTCAGGTTCGATGAATTTTCTTACTTTAGTTATTGGTATTTTGAGCATTTTTTATTTTTATTTTTTTATGTTCCTTATTTTGAGTAAGGATTCCCTTCATTTCATGTTTCAGATTTCGTGTGGAAGATAGAAAAAGGGAGCACCTTGTTCCACATGACTTGTTTGATCATACCAAGAGAAATCATGTTGAAGATTCTAAGGTTGATGGGTTGGCAGAAGAGTTGGCCAATTTGCTATTTCCCATCTTTGAGAATTTTCATGTAGCAATTGAAGAGAGAGGAGAATCAGAGTGCCCTGTTTTATGGGGGATAGACTCTGATATACATAGTCATCAAGATGCTAAGAAATTAGAAGCAGAAACAGAGTTCTCTGTTTTAAAGGAGAAAGCCAATTATATGCACGAAGGTGCTAAGAAAATAGATGGAGAAACAGAGCACTCTGATTTAAAGGAGAAAGACTATGTTATACATGAAGATGGTAAGAGAATAGAAGGAGAAAGAGAGGAGTCTGTTTCCATGGAGACTGTTTCATGTGTTCATGAAGATTTTAATAAAATGGACCAAAATGAAAAAGATAGCTCTGTTTCCATGGAGGATGATTCCAATTTTCCAAAAGTTAATAGGAAGAATGTTGAAGAAGAACAAATAGAAGAGCCTTTTTGCACAGTACCAGATACTATCTCTGCTGAAGCCAGTGATTTGGTAGAAGAAGAAGAACCAAGGATCATGACCTTTACTTTCCAACGAAATTATACAGCTGTAAATGTTTCTGATAACATAATTTCCAGCACTAAAAATAATGCCAAAATTGAATTTTCAGAGAACAATTTGAAGAAAGGCCTTGTTGCTCAAGAAGAGAAAGAGCACTCTGTTCAAGAACAGAGGAACATCTCATCCAATTCCAATTCTGGTCAAATCCTTCAAATTAATGCGTTTGGTGGAAGTGATTCATCAGATGATGATGCTCTAAATGATAACACACAACAATCTGATTTTGGGTCAGAATCATGCTCCAGCAAAATTGATGATTTGGTAGCACATCAAATTCTGAGTAACAACCATTCCCGTGAAGAATTTGATTCTAAAAGCCTTAAGGGGATTAAGGAGGAAAGAGTTAAAGATAGAGAGGAAACTCAACTTTCATGTGATAGTGAAGCCTCACACAGTCCCAATTTTCATCTTCATTTGGAAGAAGCAAATAGGGGTAGCATGGAGAAAACTAAAGAATTCATGTGGGAAGATAACTCGGATGAATCAGATTTTGATGAAGAAGAGGAAGAGGAAGAGGAAGAGGATGAGGAAGAGGATGATGATGATTGGGAGCATGATGAGGTAGTGCAACAATTGAGATTGGAACTTAAAAATGCAAGACAAGGAGGACTTGCCACTATTTTAGAAGAGGAAGAAGATGAGGAAATTGAGTCTCCAAAAGTTGTTGAGGATCTTATGCCACTGAAGATCGAAGAGAAGGTACAATTCAAGGATCACATTATTGAAATTCAAAAGGTTTATAGGTGCTACGCAGAGAAAATTCGGAAACTGGATATTATTAATTACCAGACCATGCATGCAATAGGTGAGAACCAAGTTACTCAACTTCATTTCCATGTTAAGCACTTGCCATCATTTCATCATAGTTTGGGACAATTTCATGTTCTAGTCCTTTTTTGAACTTATTTTTTAAAGATTAAAACATGCAACTCCCATCTTCATAATCATTACTGATAAATCAGATGTGGTGATTTACTAGTATGTCATTTCAAAATACCATGGTGAAGTTTTCCCGATATTAATTTCATAACATTTTGTCACAAACTTTTATTTCTTGTCGAGTTTTTGTCACGTAAGATTGGAAATTTTCTTATTTTATTCATGACTCAAAGCTATTCATTTTCTCGTTTTTCCTTTCAATCACAACGCCACAAAGTGTTGTCAATTCCATTCTTTACACCAGTCTTTTTCATTTGTTTCATAAGTCTTCCCTTCACATATAAGTCGCTAAAATAACAGTGATTGGCATCGGTTCTCCCATGAAGTATTTAAAAACAGATTTTAGAACCTTCAAATATTACTTTTCAACCATGACCAAGTTGGGTTACGAATATCATACTCTAACCAAAGAAAATAATTTCTTTTAAAAAAGAAATAGAAGCATTTATTCCTTTAGCAATAATCTTGTTTTTCCTTTGTCATTGACTAAATCACCGACTTTGTCGTTGTGTGTAGGGCTTCTTCAACTACAAGACCCTCTAAAATTAATGTTAATTCCAAAATCAACCGTCCAAAGTGCGAAGCCTCTATTATCTCAGAATTTGTGGCCACGCAAAGCACTAAAGCAGATATCTGATCCAATTGTGAAGTTTATTGAAGAACTGCATGGGGATTTGGAATTGGTGTACGTTGGACAGGTTTGCCTCTCGTGGGAAATCCTGTGTTGGCAGCACAACAAAGTTGAAGAGTTGAAACAATATGATTCACAATGGCCTCGTAGCTATAATATTGTGGCCGGTGAGTTTCAACTTTTTCAAGTCCTCATGCAACGGTTTTTGGAGGATGAACCCTTTCAAGGCCCCAGGATTCAGAATTACGTCAAGAACCGCTGTCTTATTCGCAAATTGCTTCAAGTTCCACCTATTAAAGGTCAACACAAAAATTAATCTTTATAAATATAGTAAATTCTAACTTAGTGCTTCAATTTTTTTAAAATTAATTTTATCGTAAATTTAATTATTTTAAATATATTCTTTTCATTATTTAATGACAAAACATGAGTTTAGATATCACAGCTCAACAAAAAAAAAAGTGACATCATATGACTATGCATATACTATATAATTTCCATTAGGATCAATCAAATAGTGAGAAGTTAGATGTAGTATATACATAATTCTATATTTTATACTATGTAATTATTAAATGATAATATGCAATATTTTAAAACTTTTAAAATTTAAATATAAGAATTAAAATTTTCCATATTTAAAAAAAAAAGAATACATTAAATCTTAACCAACTTTCATCCTTTTTCATGTATGAGTTTGATTCTTTAGGGTGCTGCTAAAATTTTAATTCGGAGCAACCTTTGTAAAAGAGATATCTAACATTTAAGGGGCAAATCAAGGAGTTACACCAAAAACCATTTACAATTTAAGCTTGTGCAGTAATTTTATATATGGATAGGTGTTGACAGTTCTTATGTGTCATTGGTGTTCTATCTAGTAATATTAAGAGTATCACTCAATTTTACCAATTTTGTACGCCAAAAACAAATATGAAACTTTAACCATGGTTAAGCCTTTGTACACATTGCAACCTCAAATGAGATGGTTTAATCATAATTAACTTTGTTCTGATTGCTTTGTACAGATGATAATACGAAGGACAAGAAAATAATTAAGTTGGGTGAAGAGTATGCAATTGATGGTGAAAGGTTGGCACATATAATGAAGGAGTCCATGCGGGTGTTCTGGGAATTTGTCAGAGCAGATAAAGATTATGGGAATGCAAACTCTAAAGTCTTGCATCAAACTGGAATTGATGTGAAGGACCCAGCAATTTCAGATCTTCTTGGGAATGTTAGAACCCAATTACACAAGGTTTCTTTCTAGAGAGACTTGCATTATTTTTATTATAATGTTGACACTTATATTAGTGTTAGGTGCAATTTACAATCTTGGGTTACATGTTGCAGAAGGAGAGAAAGCTGAAGGACATAGTGAGGAGTGGGAATTGCATAGTGAGGAAGTTCCAAAAGCACCATGAGGAACAAATTCAACTTGATCAAGAACAGTTGCTTGCTCAAGTGGGATTAAGATTGGTCTCAAGGGTGTTACACATGAAAAATTTGAGAAAAGATCGGTTAATGTGGTGTAATGAAAAGTTGAACCGGATCAAATTCGATGGTAGGAAGGTCCAGGTGGAGCCTTCTTTTTTGTTTTTTCCTTTTTGATTCATTCATATATTATTGGATGTAGAGATAATTATTTCTGCAGAAAATTACTTAGTAAGTAGCATAGACAGGAATCGTTACAAAATCTCGGTGTATATATATATATATATATATATATATATATATATATAGAGCGCCAATTATGTTTCAAAGTTCAGAGGTATATG